AATTCTTGATCTTAATTGATCTTCTGATGCCTTTTGTTATCCAGGGTTTTTGTTGTTTTCTTAGGCTGCGTTTTGAAATTGGCTTTAATGGGGCGTGCTTATTGAGGAGCTTGTTCAGTTTATTGTGAAATGTAGAGAATGATTTGTTTATGTCTGTCTTATTACAAATAGTACCCATTAAGTCAATTTCAGATAGCTCACTTAGGAACTTTGTTTCTGAGTAGTTTGAGAAGTCACGAGTTAACCGCTTAGATTTCGATTGATCACAGAGATCTCGATTAGTAGAAAAGTTTAGTATACAAAATTGAGAAAAGTGGTCTGTTAGATCCGAGACTATGTTTCCACTACAGATACTATATTCTAGACTGTTAATAAAGATGTTATCAATTAATGAGTAAGAGTTGTTGTGAACTCTTGTTGGTTTGTCGATTGTCGGAGTCAGGTTCAGGCTTTGCAAAGATAGCATAAAATTTTGGGCGTGAGTACTAGTATGAACATGGAGAAGATTTATATTAAAGTCACCCATAAGAATAATCTGTTTTCCAGTGGTGCTAAGCTTTTCCATTATCGAGTCAAAATATTCCTGAAAACGCTCAGGGGAATTATGCTGCCTATACAATACTCCACATATTATGTTTGCACTTTTGGGAAGATGTAATTCGATAAAAAGTGCCAGGAAGGCTTCATTAGAACATCTCTCTATTGTTTGATATTGAAATCGCTCATCAATATACATGCCTACACCTCCAGCTGAAAGAGGCGTTGGCAGGTATTCAAAATTATAATGCAAAATCGAAGGATTAAAATCTAAGTTCTCAGTCGAGCTGTTTATTCTTGTTTCTGTTACGCCTATGATATTAAAATGAAAATCTAGTTCATCTAATAAATGAGTTTGAAAATTTTCTAAATTACGCTTTAGGCTGCGGATATTTGTGTGCATAGACGAAATATTAGAATCTGGATAGGGATTAGTAGCAAACTTACTTTTTTGATCACAAAAACTATGTGGAGAGAAGTATTTACATCTTGTATTAGAGTAATAAGTGTTGGAGTCGGAACCTCTATCTAAAAATGTATTCAGAGTAAATAAATCAAGGTCGTAATAACTTGGGAGACGATCAAGATATTTTTTGGTAGGAAGAAAGGAACTAAGAGAATTATTAAATTGGCCATGTGCGGAAATTAGATCGCTGTAATTGAAATATAGCGACACGACCCCCTTATAGTGACCCCATTATAGTGACACGACCCCCTTTTTTCCATAAACAGAGGTGTGCCTCAGGGCACTATACTTGGACCCATCCTGTTTTCTGTAATGTTAAATTGATATACCAGCTGTTGATTCAGACAGTTCCATATTGGTTACTTAATTGCAGATGACTTAACTTTCAGCCTTTTGTTGAAGGTAATCCAGAACCAAGCTCCCCAAGAAGTGCAAAATACTCAGTTGGGCCCAGGACAACCTTATGACTATAAGCCTTCTTACTAAACTAAGGAGATGGTTGTTAAGGGTAAAGTTGAGAGACCCCTTCCCACCGTCACTTTTGGTATAAAACAGGAAATATTTTTTAAACTTTATCTTCTAGTTAGTTATCCTACAAATTGGGACAGGCAAATTGATGCCCTTCTTAGCAAAGCGGGGAGGCGTATGCACATATTACGAGTGTGAATAAATATGGCTATAGACTAGACTCTCTACACCACCTCTTCCATAGTTTGATTATACCTGCTCTTACTTATGCATTTTTTAGTATGGAATGTTGCTAATTATGATAAGTATCTTTCTAAAATTGACAAGTTTCAGAAAAGAGCAGATCGTTTTGGTTTCCTTAAGGAGTTTTCACCTGTGTTAAGTCTTTTAGAGGCCTCATATAATAGGTTATGGAACAGTATAACTACTTCTACTGAAGGCCCTTTGGTAGATCTCCTCAAACCCAGTAAAACAAGATTGCTAAGGAATCGTGGTCATTCAAGACATATGTACTTCCTCAAATTAGGACTAAACGTTTTAAACGCTCTTTTTTTAATAGATGCCTCTTCAATTCTATTTAATTGTGTATTATAATCCAGAACGTTTGTTTTTGGAACTAATAAAGAGCTTTTTATTTTTTTATTTTATTTATCACGAAGGATGCAGGAATTATACTTCTTATACATCTTGAGCCTTACTGAAGATGTATCGCGTGATTCACTCTTCCAAAAACTCGTTTCTCAATGTTTTCAGCTTCCGTGTGGTCTTTTTAAACATCAGTTGAATAAAAGCAACGCGAAACTGTTGAATTCTTACACAAAAAATAATTGGGTTTAACAACGAGTTGAAAACTGCTGCAGCTCTGCCTGTGGAAGGAGCTATGTATGCTAAATTCACTGAATTGATGACATGATTTGATACCAGAGCTCGTGCCACTATAAAGGGTAAATAACACAGTATTAAAAAGAAAAGAACCGTTGCTGTCAGTTTAGAAGCTTTTTTCTCCTTTAAGAATTTCTCTCTGGCTTCCAACGAGGCTTGCTGGTTAGCGATTTGTTTTTGATGCCGACTTGTTTCGCAGTAAAGCAAAACTTGGCAGAAGAAAATAGTGGCGATGCAAAAAGAAGTGACAAAATTGTCAACTCTAAAGTAAAGTTTATTATCAACCACTGACAAAGGCACTGTTAATGGTTATTCTGCGACCCACAGGAGAGAGGACAAACATACGAGGCGATTCTTTGTGACGATGGTTTCGTACTTCAGGGCATGTTTAATGGCAATGTACCTCTCTACGTTCATCATGGCCAAGTGGGACAGTGATACACTTCTTAATACTCTCAAAGCGATTGTCGCCAACAGCGTTCTTACACAGTACGTAACAGATGTGTTTCCTTGCAGTTCTGCGATCGTCTTAGAGACGGACAGAGGTTGGCCGATCACTCCCATTGCCAGATCAGTTGTCGACAAGCAGGAGAGTGCAATGTTAGTGTTGGTCTTCAATCGGTGCTTAGTCGTAACAGCGATTATGAACAGTGCATTCAAGACAATAGTAAGTGGACAGGTAATGATGCTGAAGACGGCAATGAAGACAAGCCAGTCGTAAGCTTCCGGAGTAGTATGATCGAGAGTTCCTTGCGGAATCGCTGGATCGCATCCACGAACTGTGCTCACCGCATTTGCAGAGGATGAACTTGAATTCATATCTTCTTTTTGGCTTGGCTTTCATAGAGATGTTTCTGTTGCCTAGGCAGGACTATTTCGTTTTGTTTCGGTGACGATCTGTGACTCACTTTTATCTACTTTAAAGGATTACTTTTTTCGTGCATGTTAACCAATGAGTTCAAATGTCGGAAATGGTCTTCTTAAGAAAGAATTCACCTTTAATAGAAAGATTTCCTCAGTATTGACAGAAAGATGATTTTAATGTCTTGATGACTTCAGCTAAAAGTCATCGATCAAGTTGGACAAAAAGTACTGACAGGCAGGGAATATTTTTAATTAAAAAGCATCCTTGATCTCAGCGCGAACGAAGCAGCTGATGAATTTAATTTTTTATTCCGATCGAAATGACTCAAGAAGACAACTTGAACGTGTTTCGCGGACTTGTGAAAATTCATGCAAAGTCGACCGAATTCACTCGTAGAGAGTGCCTTTAAAGAAATAAAAAGAGAAAAAGTTTTAATATCACGTAACATAAAAGGATACTTAACGTTCCGAATTCCAAAAAAAGTCTTTTTTATGCTCAACTATGAAAACAATGTTCCTTGGCGTTGGGATTAATGAAGCTTTTTAATCAAAAATTTTCGCTTTACTGTCGGCTCTCGATAACTCAAGCCAGAACGGAAAATGATAATAATAATAATAACATTGATAAAATTTTTTAAAAAATCTTCTTTCCGTATAAACGGCACATTTCGTCTAAAATAAGACGCGGCTTAGCTAAGACGCGTCTTATTTTAGAACAGCCCTTAACACCTGTTCTTAGATAAGACGCGTCTTAGCTAAGACGAGAAAAACTTCGTGTAAATGACCTTCGCGTCTTACATAAGACGCGAACGTATAGTACGAAGCGTAAATTTTTGGCGCCCCACGTTGGATTGCCGTTTCTACGGGCAGCATTCACATGAAAACGTGTCAAGAGCAGAAATAAGACGCGAACCATTTATACGAGCTGTTCTTGTCTTAGATAAGACATGCTCGTATAAATGGTACAGTTCGCATCTTATTTTTCCTCGTATAAATGGCCTTATTATCTCTTAAAATATAATCCACGAAAACGTTTCTCTACTAATTATTTATTACTATTACTATTGCTTTTAGCAATCACTACCAATAATTAACACCTTTTCACTAATTCCTCTTTAAGGACGGTGCCCACTAATGCGAAGTATTTTTTCCCAGATAATGACTATGTGAGACAAGTAGATCATATCAGGGGCTATTGAAATCAAAAAAGAAAAGTTGGGGTAACCGCGCATTTTTCAGAGACAACTGCGCTTCAATATGGAGAAAAACGCTGAATAGGCATTTTTAAGAAAAATGATAAAAAGTTATTTTTCCCAAAATTTCAGAGTGTACACGTGAACTGGCACAAATGCAATGATAATTGTAACAAGGTTTCAAAGTAAGCAACAAGTGATAACATGACAACTGCTTTTTATACGTCTTTTTTTTGAAATATCAGCACAACTGGGAAGTTATCAGCAGTTACCCATCTCCACGCGTTTGCCTTAAAAATAGCGTAAACGACATTTTCCCCGAAACAAAAATTGATCGTTTGCTGAGTAGGCTTATTACTTTCATTTGGTAAGATAAAAAGTAGGGGTTACCACGCGTTTTAAGTAGTTAAATTGGTTGGTTTCGACCTTTACTTAATGGCTTTGAGGGTTATTTACAATTTTTCCCATCCCCTCCCCGGTCAGTTTCACTATTGCTTCACTCGACGCGGAGTACTCTGGGATATCCACAATGGCTAACAGTCAGAGAGACGGCAACAACCCACGGAAGAAAGCAAAAAACAGAAAGTGAAGCAGGACATTTCATGGACTCTAAGGAAAACAAATTATTCTATTTCATTCAACTGGAGCTTCTCCGTCTCAAAATTTATTTTTTTTGGAGAAGAGCAATCTCCAAGGTATTAAAGATTACTTCCAGCGCACAAAAAGTAGTATGGCGAGCTCAAGATCCAAGGCTGGTGCTGTAAACAAACTACTGTACTGTAGTGGAAAATAGTCGACAGGGACTCTTAGACAGGTACTCCTTCAATCGTTTGCTTACCTGTACATGTCCTCACGATTTTTTGAACTGTAGATGTAATATGGATGGTAAGCGTTCTATTGTTTTTTATCATCTTACCCGGTACCTCGATCGAATACGTTATTAAACTTGCATACATTCAATGAGCTTATATCTGTGCTTTGCGCTATCTCTTTCGGGCTTTGCCACAAATTTCATATGACATAAATGATTTGCATAGACTCAAGTTCCATACATGAGCTCTCTTTTAAAAAAGCTGAATACTGCTAAAGTAGTTGTACCGAATTCGTTAATGTACCCTCATATATAAACTGGGCCTTAATGATCATTTCATATTTTTCGTTTTGATCTTTTTCTTACTGTAGCATTCTGTGTCATGATCATTCACTATTTTTCGTTCCTAAATGTTAATTTTAGACTTAACAGTGTCCGTTAAATCTAAGAAAGTCCTAGAATGGAAATACTTTGTTTTACCTTGTATCTTAAGTTTGTATTAAAACAGCCAAATGGCAGCTATGTCTGAAATGTCCAGATTATGTGTGGCCTGAAATTGAACCTTAAGAAATACCATCTACACGACAAGCTACCGATGAGTCAATAATTTTAGTGCTTACTAATGCCTTAGTAATGCTTAAATAACAATGATAATCGTAAAAAGCATAACAATTTTTTTACGATTTTTTCCACGATAAAAGCGTTTCCTTTGCGGTCCGCACTATTTGTGAAGCTGCGATCTCAGCAATCCAAGTAGTCTTGTGATAGTTGTTTTCTTGTTTGTTCAACAAATATAGGCCTCGGACTCTCAATAAAAGGGACATCTGAACGCTTTAAATCTATCTTCTGGTGAATGATTACATAAAATCTTACAAAATTATAGAAACATTCGGGAAAGTGTTTGTAGCCGATTAGCCGATAAAACGCGAATGACGCGAGTGAAAGGTAAGCTTGCAGTTTCTCGATTAAGCAGAGGACTATTTTGAGCTATTTTCCTTCTGATTTACTGATCCTTTCCTTTTAAGGGATCGTTTAATACCCAATACTCCAAGCGTAACATCTGGAAGCGAATAACTTTTGATGTTTTAGAATTGACTTTTGTTGACTATAAAATGTTCGGTCAAATCGACCATACGGTTAGCAACATGTGCATGCATACTTCTTCGGTTTTCAAAGAACTGACAAGGTAAATAGTTAGAAATTATTTTTCATCTGTTGAAAAAGGACGCATCTTTTCCACAAGAAATAATTAGAACCTCCCCCAGCCTTACAGGAGACAAAACCAGTCCGCGTGTCCTGCGTGTTGAGTATCTCTTTCGCGTCGCGCGTGACTACTTTGGCATGCGCAGAAAATGTGCGCAGTAACAATAGTGGGCGCCGTCCTTAAAATGTGCCACGATTTCAACATGTACCAAAAACGATAAGAATATTAAATATAATTATAGTAATAACTGAATATGCAATATTCAAAATCTTTTCTCTAAATCAAAATATTGCGTGATAATAATAATAATAATAATAACAATAATAATAATAATTCAAAAGTAGGTTGAATTTGATCGTCCAGGTGAACGTAGTCCTGGACAGGACTGTTGTTGTTGACAGTGACTGACGTTTTGACAACCTGTGCGGTAGTCATCTTCAGAGACAAAGTGAGTTGTATCACGTCAGTTGATAGTATTATACTCTGGTTATTGGTCTGATTGGTCAATTACGTTGCGATGTAATTGGTCGTCTGCCAGTTAAGCCGTGATGTTATTGGCTATGATGACTTGTCATCAGTAACTGGTGCGTTTCGATTCGTCTATTGTCACAGTTAAACAGTCGTCTATTGTTAGTCAAGTTGTCAGTTCTCCAGTCGTTCTCTCGTAGTTGGTTTTGCTTGATCTCGTCAATAAGTCGTTTGTACGGCGCTGGTAACTGTTGGCTACGATTCAGTCGCGTTTGTTCTAAGTTAGTAAACCAGCTTTCTAAAGTAAGACGTTCATAGTAGTCTGTCGAATACGTTTTACATGTCTCAGAGTCCCAGTCAATTTGATGTTTCGTCTGTAAATGGTGCTCAGCAATGTGATTGTTGACGTCACCATTCCTCGTCGCTCGTTCGTGTTCGGTCAGTCGCGTGCTTAGATTTCTGCCGGTTTCACCAATGTAAAAATCCTGGCAGTCGCAGCATTTGATCTTGTATACTGCTCCCCGTCTGTCCTCCGGTTTGTCTTTGTCCTTGACATAAGTAAGCAGTGGCCGAAAAGTGGTTATCGGTTTGTGTGCAACACGTATATTGTAAGGTTATAATATACGTGCAATAGTTTGAGAGGTGCCTCTGATGTACGGTATAGTCGCTGTCGTAACAGGGCCAGAGTTGGTCTGAGTGTTGAAATCAGTGTTACTGTGAGTGCTCCGTCTAACAAAGTCGGTATTGTAATTGCTCTTACTTAAAACGTTGTTAAGATAATCAGTCTTGTCTTGTAGGCTGTCAGGTGAGTCGCAAACTAGTTGCGCTCGTCTCGTTAAAGTCCGGATAGTAGTAGCCTTGTGAGAGGTCGGGTTGCACGAAGACTGGTCCAGTAATCGGTCGGTGTGTGTCGGTTTTCTGTAAATAGTCGTTTTTAGTATGTTGTTGTCGCGAGTGACCAAGCAGTCTAGAAAAGGTATCTCACAATTTTCTTCGATCTCCTTGGTGAACTGTATGTCCGAGTTGTGTCTGTTAAGGTGTTCGTGAAAATCGTCGATTCCGTCTTTGTGTACGGCGGCGAATGTGTCGTCAACGTAACGTAGCCAAAGAGGTACAGTTCGCGTGTAGGTAGCTACGGCTTGTTCCTCGATGTTTTGCATGACAATTTCTGCTACAACAGAAACTGGAGAGCCCAGAGCTGTACCGTGTAACTGTTTGTAGTGTTTGCCGTTGTACTGAAAATACGTCGAAGTCAAACAGAGGTTGAGTAGGTCCATAA